TATTCGGCGCGCTGCAAACTAAACGACCGAGAGAGAGAAAGAGAGAGAGAGAGAGAATTGGCCTGCGCGGGCGTTTCACTTCCTCGAGAATCGCGCTTGGCTTTTTTCCCACGAGACCGAAACACGCACGCGCGCGCACCACACACGGCGAGAGTGGAAAGCCGTACGTTGCTCTAATTGGCAGATATCGACGGGCAAGGTGAAAAGTCAACTCTCCGTATGCATGTAATGAGCTGCGAATGATAAATGCGCAACTCGAGGATAAGCGGTGGAATTGCATTGGCGGTGCTTCGCGCCGCCTGCCTCTTTATCAACGAGGACGTTGGCATCCCAATCCATTGCACTCCGTCATTGAGCGCGACACAAAACTCGAGCCAACATGTCAATTGTTTTCTAACGAACAAAGTTTCGCTCTTCGACAAAAGAAACTCTGTTAAAAGTTGGCGTCAGCGTCGCGGATGGTTAGAATGCGTCCGGCGAACAAATCATAAGTCAAAAAAACAGCGTTACAAAAGACCGATCAAACGGCTTATTTATAGAGCCAACGGAATAATAACGATACACGGACGAGTTTTCAAGCAAACAAAGCGAGCTCTACGAGGCGACAAACGTATGAATGAAAGGCCGATCGTTACAATGCGCTCGACGCAACGCAACGCACCGCGCGCAGTCCGCAAGAATCATTGCGTCGACGCGCGATCGTGCATAACCTACGGCGGCACTCCGAAGCCGCGAGAATAAATAAAATTGACCGACAATGGGCCCTGTAATAATCCTGCCGGATTCAGGCCAATAATCCTCGTCGTCGCCGCCGCATCTTGCGCCTTGAAAGCACTTGGTCGATTGCGGCGACAACGAGCATTGCCCTCCCACCCGTCAAGGTTGATTTGACTTTCACATCGCTCCTTGCCGTCGAAGCTTCTGTGCCACCGCGACGTTGCCTTATTTTGCTTTGCTCGCCGCAACCCTTGACCTACAACGCGTTCTCTTTTTTTATTCCGATAACGAACTCGTGGCGGACGCCTGCCTTTTATTTTTACCGTTCTTACGCGAATCTCGTTGCTATTAAGCGGCAGAGTGCTATTTATAGAAAAGCGCTACTTTTCGTTATGTCACAAAGACTTTGACGCTGGTCACCAATTTCGAACGACCGATCTCAACATTGTAAACGTTTAGTCAATGAAATTGCCAAGCAAGTTGATACAGAAAATGAAACAATTTTAGCGAATATAATGCTAAGTCTTAAATCAACTGCCAAGGATGCAATTTAACTTGACATGCGTATTAAGATTATCGACTTATTCAGCGGTGATTTGCAAAGAAAAAGATTTGCAAAAAAAGCGTCTAATTAACATAACTCCTGTTTGTTTGCCAAGTTGTGCCAACGTTTTACGAATATGTACATTGGAGATAAAGTTTTTTGCGTGATTGTCAATTTACAATGCGATAAAATCTAATTCTATCATACATGGACAAATACACTGTTGAATATTTGCAAATTGACTATACGTATGTGCATTAAGATTTTCTTTGGTAAAAAAGAAGAGAGCCATTACCATAAAAGGGTTTTCTGAACAGCTATACTGTTATAACATCTTAGTCACGACTTTGAATATTTACCACAATAAATCGAGATTTAATATGGCTATCGGGGAAAAAGACGGTAAAATCGGGTAGCCTTTGCTCATTCTAGAGAGATGTTGTGACGTCCATTTTCTCCTGGCTCTCGACAAATATTTCAGAAAGGGCTTTCACCTCGGTCACGTCGAGCAATAAAATAAATAGCTTATCGCCGCGAGAAAAATCTCCCTTAAAGAACTCGAAATAACAAGAAGGCGTTTGTTACGTAACGTCGACAACCTTTGTCGCATCGACAGGCCAAATCCTTTTTTTTCTTGACGGTACTAGGCCATAAAGTTAGGACTGTCCACGCGTGCCTTATTGCTAAGGCTGCCCGCCACGGAGAAAACTCGCGTCCATCACTCTTCATTACCCTTTGACCCGGGCTTCCCCTTCCTCTCGGACTCCGCGTCCGTTCACGGTTTCTGATCCGCCGAGTCGAGCGCAAACATTAATAAGATGTTGGTACTCGATCAATCAATTGATATGTAAACAACCTTTGTAAAGAACGCCTATCTCATTTACCTTGCTCACCAAGGTTCCATAATATTTTTGCGTAAAACGCAATTTGGAGAAAAATCTTATAGCAGTATATATAGTTAAAGTAGTGAGAACTGGTCAAAACAAAGGTATAGTGCGTTCCACCGTAATAGATACGTAATTTAGAACGTGCGTCGTAAGTTTACACACGCTCGAAACAAATACCTGATTGACGACTTATTATTCTCTAATTGCATCTGACTACCAGCAGATCGTTAAAGTTTACCTCTTACTATAAAATCATACTTCCTTTTAACATAGCATGCTTCGCTGTGAACTAAGTAACTGCCGACACTCTAGATTGATTCTATTGAACCCCTTCTCGATTGAACTTTTAACAAACACTCGGCTATTCCTTCATCTGTACTAAAATAGAGTGTCTTGTTTAAAAAAAAACAACCTATGTTTATTAGAGCAATTCTTTTACTTCTACATAACCGTGAGAATACAGCAACCTCGATACCATCGATCAATACATACACAGTAAAAAAGAAAAAGGCTCGATAATGACTCTACCAAGTAGAGAGAAAAAAGGAGACACGGAGGTTTTGCCAATTTCTATTGTGTTTCCAAACAAATTCAATTTGTATCTGGCGAATTCAAAATTCAACACAAATTATCTATCTCGCCACTTGGAACAAGCTGCAATGAAGTAGCTAACCTTTACGATACGACTACGAGAATAGAATGAAAGAGACACGAGTCGGCTATGGCACCGAGAGATTTTCTCGTCGAATTGTGGTGGCTTTATCGAGAAAAGAACTATCACTGCGCTCCACGGATTTTCAACACTCATACGATATATATATATCTCTAATGAAAATCTATCGAGTGTCAAGAGAAAAAGAACTTATTATAAAGACTAAAACCTATTTCTGGATAGATCAAATTGGACGCTACGATTTTAGTTTCCGCGACGAAAGAAAAATCTCATCCTTTTATCGAGGAAACATTACAATTTCTTTTCATTTTTATAAGGTGGTAGCTATCAATGAAAAAAAGGCTCTTGATCGTGAATGGAAGTGTCACGCGTAGAAAATAAAATCCATGAATTACCCCACGATGCATTGTCAAAGCAATAATTATCTTGATTGCGTAACTATAGAGCACACCCACGAAAGAAATCCTTTCTCTGGCTTCAAAAAAATCTCAAATTAACATCCCAATTGAAAAAAAGTGCACGATCAATAGCCTTTTCCAACGCAACAATGAAAAAAAAAAAAGAATAGCCGAAGTGAGATCGCAGTGAAAATCCTTTGGCGTTGCAACAGCTTTATAACGTCCAATTGGCCGCGCGACCATGACCGGAGGACCAAGCCTTGTGGGGCATTGTTCGCGATCAGCTTGCACAACGATCATCGCGCGCGTCATAGCGGGACAACAGTTGCCTTAGAAAATCACACGAAGCCTTTTTTCGGGGAGCCTGCCTGCCCGTGCTCCTGCGTAGACGTAATTAAGAGAGAAGACCGGGAGGTCGTCCGAGAGAGAAAGCTGGAAAAACATTAACATAGCAGAGTGATCGAGGCGTGTGCGAGACGGAGAGCTTGTTCGCGTAATTAAGACTGGCATTCTTACGATTGAGTTACTCGATTATCTGCGCTCGCGCAGCTGACACACGTAGCACGGACAGAAGAAAACAAGTGACGCCGAGAAGAATTCGGTGAATCGATCAAAAAGCAACGTCGATCGGCAGCTCTATGCACGTATTAGGACTCATCCTCTCACGGCGAGTTTAAAGGAACGGATACAAACAAGGCGCTGCGAAGAGCATAACATACACGAGTTCAACGTACCGTGGGGAAAAGAGAAAGTATCGACTGCTGTGTGGCGCGCTCGTTTGCCGAGACTCCACGAGTCCTGGCAAGGTCGCCGACGGCGATGATCGCGAGCAGCTGATCGCGTTATATACACGGTCCTTGCGGAGGTTTCGACGCGATGAGCCATGCGCGTGTCTTTTATCTCTCACCTGGCCCTGATTTACGTGACAGACTACTTCCGATTTGTTTACTTTCATTTTCGCGAGCTAAAGCGCTACGTATAACGATCAAATCAGCCGATTAAAACCAACTACTTAATCAAGTTTTTTTCCCCTCTAAACGGGCGTCTTGAAGGAGAAATACGATTATCTGGAAATGGAGTAATTGTGAAAGAGCTTTTTTTCCTCTCGTTCGCAATTACGACGCACTATTTTCGGAGTAAAGTAATTTGCCACGCGCGAGAGCACAAAGAATTCCTTTTTCCCTTTTTGTTTCTTTTTAGAAAGAAAAAATGCGAATCCCTTCTTGCGTTTCCAACTAACCTACATTGCCAGATATTTTTTTCCATGCCACTTTCGGATTGTTTCGCACGAGATAAAACGATTCTCTCTCGCCAAATTACAAAGCTCCGCGCGCGCGCACGCGCTAATTCCGAAAACGTTGCGGCAATAATGGATGCTACACACACCTTTTACGTAGTCGTTGGCCGTAAAAGCATTCCAGAATATTTGTCGAGCTGCAAACAGCGCGGTTACGCAGTAGTCAATTCTCGATGCGGAACTTTGGCTTTTGAATAATTGTTAATTTTCTATTTACACCTGAATATTCAATTTTACAAGCATACGATGATAAAAGAATTGCTAAGAAACTAGTTATCGAAAAAAGATTAGAAAGCCGGCTGACAACTACTCATGACATGAGTGAAATATTCAGCAGTTTTCTATGACAACGGAAACCAGCAGGTATTTATCGATAAAACAATCAGCGCAAACCTGTCTCAAATTAGAAACATCTTTTCGGTAGTCAGTAGTAAGCGTAAATAACTCCAGAACCGCGACTTGTAAAAAACTGTCACACACCCACCTGTGGTTTACTTTGAATCTCCTGCTGCGTCTGCTGCTGCTGCTGCTGTTGCGGTTGCTGCTGCTGCTGCTGCTGCTGTTGCTGATGCTGCTGTTGCTGCTGCTGCTGCTGCTGCTGTTGTTGTTGATTGGTCCTCCACGTGTTGGCGACGGGCTGTCTTGGGCCACGTTTGTCAAGCAACAGTTCACTGGGGCACTTCTCGAAGATGAGCACTCTCTCAGCGACAGAGCCTCTGGTCAAAAACGGCCGCACTGGGTTGTGATTGGCAGTGTTGGTGGCTGCCTGCCGGATATGTTGCTTCTGCTGGCTGGTGAGTTCGGGGTGAGGGACCGGCTCGACGGGCCTCGGTCGCGAAGAGTTCAATCGAAGACCCCATCGAGACGCGATAAAGTCTTTCTCATCCTTCGGCTCCTTGTCGGCCAGCGCCTTGGCAGGTTCGGAATGGACGGCTGGTTCGAACTTGGACCTCGTAGCCGAGACAATCGGTTCGGCAGACTTCGGTTCTTGCGTGAGCGCCGTCTGTCCAAATCGCACCTTGACAAAGTCCAGCACGTCCCGATTCTTGGCCTCACTGCCAGGAGAATTGACCAGATGGACGTTGTTGACCATAGCCGCGGAGGTGAGGGCCTGAGGTGATATGAGAATTGGCTTGACTGGCTCGACTTTGGGTTTGGTCTCGCGAGCAATCGCCGGTTTCTGCTTGGGCCGCTCCAGCTCGCCGATGACCGCGCCGGTCTTGAGAGCGTTGATCAGTCGCTCCTCTTCCCGGGCCACCTCGTCCAAGTAGTTGGCATTGGAGTTGACGGGACTCTTGGCATTGAGCTTGGCCTTGAGCGGCCACTCGCCGCCGGTCGGAGTGGTCTTGGCGTCGATGGTCTCGAGGAAGACCTCCTTGTGCTGCTGCTGCGCCGGCTGCTGCTGCTTCACCATCTGCGCCCCGCGGCTGGCGAAGCTCGTCGGCCTCAGCTGACTCGTCGGCGTCTTCGGCTGCGCGGGCGCCTGCTGCTGCAGAAGCGGCGCGGAGTTCTGCTCGAACTTCTGCAGGGCGAAGGCTATGGAGGAGGGCAGGTTCTTGGAAGGCGAGCGCTGCCTCCGCGCCTTGTCCTCCACGACGAAGTTGTTGACCAGTTTCTCCAGATTGTTGTTGTCCTGGGCGAGAATGTCGACGGCCGCGGGCTTGTTGGCCTGGGGACTGCCGACTGGCGACAGCACGCTGCCGAACTTGTCGGTCGGCACCGCCTGGCAGCTGAGTATCTCGGTGGGCGCGAGGCCGCGGCTCTTCCAGGTCTGGTAGATCGCCTCGGCGTGGTCGCTGATTTGCTTGGCGATGGCGGCGATGTCCTCGTCGCCGGACGCGCCGCCGCCGCCGGCGCTCGCCGTCGAGTTGTGGCTGGCGCCGCTCGCGCTGTTCGGCGAGGTCGGGTGATCGCTCTGGAACTTGCGTCGCTGGTTGACCAGCGCGGACTCGTGCTTGGCCGTGGCGGCCATCTCGCGTGACACTGCTGCGGCTGCCGCCTCGGGCGCGCAGGGCATAGCTATTACGCGCCTGATGCTCGTCGTCGTCGCCCTGCACTGCACGGTGTTTGTTGTTGCGCTCGCTGCTGCAGCCTTGTGGTCGCAACGGCCGACCTCGACGACCTCGACTTGGTCAACAACGTCTTCTTTACCGTCGCTCGCCGTGCGCACGGTGAGTCGGCGCTGAGCATTCTGTGGCCCGAAGATTCCGATGGCGACTGCGACCGTTGCGGACTCGGATGACCACTCCGTTGTTGCTCGGTCGACGCTCGCGGATGACGAGATCACGAACGCGCCTACGCTGGCATCTGTGGCGCTGCTTCGTCTATGCTCGTGGAACTTTGTTCTGCAACAGAAAGACAAGTCGTCTGAGTTGGTGCTTGCGCGGACACTCTTTGGGCGTTTCGAAGGCAAGGTAACAACGCGACAAGTACGAGCTCAGCTCGAAACATCCAGGTCTATAATTTGCGAGATTATAAGACTCGGCGGCGTACGCTCGCAGCGATAGCGTCGATTGGGAATTGTCAATAGCAGTCATTGGCGGGCCACTTTCGATTGCCTTTTACCGAGCGTGTGCCAACGCGCCCGAAGTAGGTCACAATTATATTTGAAAAACGCGATCGCTGAAAATCGGGGACGTCGACCTCTCGCGAGCTCGGTTTTGAACCTATGTATAGCTTAACTCGGGACGGACGACGGCAACGCGTTAAGCCTTGGATTCGGCCGATCGTCTCTGCCAACTTTTGCTTATTTACGCTTGCTTCGCGCGTACGCGTCGCGCACCTACGCGGCTCCCGTGTCCAGCCCGGCAATTATCATTCGGCGCGAGCACTCGGCCCCTCCTCTCGACCGTGCACTCGGATCGAGAGCGGGCAGCCTTTTTCCCGAGGGAAGCGGCGTGCACGACGACGGTGCCTCGCCCTTTGATAATCCGCCAGAGAAGGCTGCCATCGGCGCGCTCAAGTCGTTGGCAAAGCACCTCTCGCGCGTCAGCCGCTATTAATATCGATGAGAATTTTTGCCGCTCGCGAGCTCGAGGCCCGCCGAGAGCGAAAAGGAAACGCGAGAATCGGCCGGCCGGCCGCGCAATGAAGCCAATTACCGCGCACAATAGACTGGAGACGCGCGAGGCTGATTTCGCGCTCGGAGGAGCGCGAGAAGCGAGCGTGCTCACCCGCGCTGGACTGCGCACACGGGCCTCTCGCGATGCATACTTTCACCCCGGGGCCGACGCGCGCGTCGTCGCGGCTCGGTGAAAATGTCCCGATGGCGAATGTAGGACGCGCGCGCGCTCGCGATTATTGTATTCAAATGAGATATCCTACGTGCGCGGCGCTCACCGAACCGGACTCCTCTCTTGCTCTCCTGCTCTCTCGCTCTTTTCCTCGGAGAACGGCCGGTGCGTCGAGTGGCGACAATCAAACTTAACGGCTACTCGAACGCTATTACGCGAGGGGGTGGACCCGTCAGCCTTTCGCAATTGCGTCGTCACGAGCGACTAAATCGTGACACGCTGGGGAAAAGCTTGAAACGGCTATATTTTCCGATTCCTCGAAGAGAGCCGTAGGAAAACGAACCGAGCATCACAAAGGAAACGAACAAGCGAAGGGAGTCGGCGCTCGTTGCTTTTTCACTTGCTTCCTAGATTGAAATTCTTCTCTCGTGTCCGTCTCTCTCTCTCTCTCTCTCTCTCTCTCTCTCTCTCTCTCTCTATCGTTTGACGTAGCCAGCAACTCTGCACGCGCACGGGTCATTTACATTTATGGCGAGCCCCGCACTATGTGCTGCGAGAGGCTACCTTCTCAATTAGCCAACGATTCTCCGCGAAGATTGTACGAGGTAATTTTTCGGTGGCTCGCTTTAACGAGACCAGTTTAGCTGCTGCGGCATAGTTGCCACGGAGCTGACGAGCTTCCATTTTCCAACGCGATTTCGATTCGAGAAGAAACGTCGGATACGAGCACACGAGAATTTCCGATGAGCCCTAGTGTCTCGACAGATAATTTTAACTCGATGCAACCGGACGGATTTTCAATTAATCTTTACCGTTCACCCATCCGCGTCGTTATTAATCAGTGCGACCAACTGACCGACGCGCGACATTCAATATTGGCAGATTAATATTCATCTCTGCGAGTTCCAGATATCGAACTCACTTTGGGATATGACATGCACGTTGAACGAGAGCACACTTGGGAGTGTCCCAAATATTTGTAAGGAAAACACGATAAAAATAAATCATAGCAACAAGTGACGGGAGTGGGACTTTTTCCAGGGTTAAGTTATGTGTGCACACATCCATGCAATGTGAAATATACAATGTCGTTACAGCGTCATTATTGAAAAGTAAAGCGGTGAAAAAGGATATATATCCGAGCGAACAAGTGCCCCGAATGCACAACAAATGAGATCCCAGAAGCTCTTGATCGACACGGTCCGAAAAGTCCGAGTTCCCGCACGAGCACATGCACAACTCGAGCGAGAGACGAGGCGCTCTGGAAATTGAATAAGCTCTCGGCTGCTGTGACGAAAAGCCAGTCTCGATCGGCCCCGTTTATGCAATATCGTGCCGTCGTCGGTGGCCAATGAATCAAAAGCAAGAGTGCGACGGTGGCAAGTGAGAGCGCTTTTATAGCTTCTAAATTTGGATCGGCTTCTGCGTTTATTTTTTAAGCTCGGTTTCTTTTCGCCAAGGCGCCCACCCACACTCGTCACCCAATTTTCGATAACCGTAATCTTATTCAATGCAAATTGACGTAAGAATTAAACGATCGAGATTTGTTTCTTTCCCCATAGAGAAATAATGGACTCGTTAAACGTCTTCCTGAAACGTGTCGTTACATGTGTTGCTATGCTAATTCGATAACTGTATCAGCTTTGACGCGATTCCGTGATGACCATAACACACCTATCCGAGGAATATTTTCTCAATTAAAATCACGGATACGAATGGAAATTCATGCACAGACCGACGAATGGATTTATTATTCTAATGACCATTTTTCGCGTACTTTAATGGACGTTAATTTTCTTACGATTGCGTTCCGAGTGCAGCTTATGCAAGCCGGAAATTTCACGAGCGCACTTTTTAATATATTTTCGATTTTCGAAGCGCAGTTCTCTTAGCGATACCTATCGCAAATGAAAACGAAGCCTTGGCAGTACACTTAAGTAACGCGAAGGTAAGTATTTGAAAATCCAATTTACCCAAGTCAAACTAAGTTGGTCGTCGTTCCGTGATCCTCCGCGCGTATACACTAGCCGAGTTCTTCTCCATAACCTAAAATAAACACGTAGCACAGTGATATATCCCGAAAGGTTTTGCACTTTTTTCGCCGTTTTCACACCCTTCGCAAAGATAAAAAGTCAAGAGTATATATATAGAAGACGATGATAAGCGGCGACAAAATAAAGAAACACAAGCACACATAGAGGTAAAAGTAAAAGCCGTCTGCGGGACAACGTGACCACGACGCACTCGCTAAGAGCAAACGAAGCCAACTGAAGGCACACTGTATAGAGCAGTCCCCTTCTCACTCTCTCTCTCTCTCTCTCTCTCTCTCTCTCTCTCTCTCTCTCTCTCTCTCGTTGGAGCCACCGCGCCGCATTTTGCGTGCTGCTGCTGCAGTCCCTCTCCAATAGACTCCCCGTTCTCTATTGCTATGCTACTCTGGAGATCGACAATGGAGAGAGCCGACGCTTGATCCTTGACATCCTGTGCGTGTGCCCGACAAGCGAGATATTCGAGCACTCGTTTTTTTAACGGAAGTTATTTTTTCTGCCGAGATTCAAATGCTCTTGGCTGTTCAACTGCCGTTAGATTCGCTCTTATTACAAATGAAAATCGTAACTTTGTTGACTTGTACAAAATTACGCATAAATTACAGTTTTTTGACAGCGACAAAAGTTTTATTCGATATTTTATGTAAGCTCATCTTAGGATTATCGTTTTAAAAAATGTTTTAAATATGCCACCGAAATCGAACAGAGCGCTCTCAAATTTCTAACGATACGTTAAAACAAAAAAAATAATCGTAACGTTGACCGGTCAAATGTCGATTATTTTTGATTGAAGATATATACGCGGAAAGTGACGTAAACTCAGAGTGCGACGTTACATCGCTTAGGTATAACCTTCGTAAATCAATCTACCCTTAGAGGCGAGAAAAGATAACAAAAAAGGAATCGAATTTTGTCGTATTGCGCCATAAACTCGACGCGATGCAGTCTGCAGTGAGAAAACGGTTTGGCAAACCACACGGGATAACATAACGACCAAGCGAAACGACTTATAGAGTTTATGACTTCAGACGCTGTACTTGTGGAATTCATATTACACGCGAAGCCCGTGTTCGCTTGAACTTTAACCCGATCGGCAAAAAGCGCGAGAGGGAAAGGTGAATTGCCGTGGGAAACAAGTTGGATGTCTTTCACTCTCGTCGAATAGACCGTAGATACGACTTTCGCGCTCGCGATATGTATCGAAATTCATTTTTCGTATAACGAGACGTGCAGATCGCATGATTAAATCTGATCGTTTGCACGTATCGAGCGATCGAGTTACAATAACAGATTGGTAATGATATAGCTCTTGGAGCAATGCTCTTTTTTTATTAAAATTTGCGCGGGTAATTGGCAAATGAGCTTTTAAACAGCGATACGTACGTTATCGTGCGATTTTTCCGCGAGTAAAGGCACGAGAGGTCGCATTGATCGATACGTCGCTCGCGTTCGGCTCGAAATGACAATTTTGTGCAATTTGGATTGTGCAGTTGATAAGTCATCATTAAAAATAAGCAAGAAGCCTGGCAATAGGCGCAACAGCATTTCACACACATCCATTAATGAGATTGCCTACTTTGCCGTATAATAATCTCATTGAAATTCCTCAACCTACGAAGTATTAGCACTCGACGTCGGACCTTGAAAGAACGCGGACTGCGTGCGACCTTGGAGTTTTAAAAACACCGAAACGAAGTGAAAAAGAACAACAGCCACCTACGCAACGTAGCTGTCGCTCATTCGATTGCTATCGACGTGCTATTTCACATTGCCGGGGAATAAGGAAAACGAGAGGCGCGCACACCTGATCTTGCGAGAAATCAAAGTGAAAATTACGCGAGGCCGGTCATGACTTCGTGCCAAGAGGTTGGCGCGCGCGGATAACCTCCGAACGTGGAGTTGACGGCTGATGCGCGCCTCCACGCGAGGTCGTGCGAGTTTTAGTGATGCTAACGTCCCGTGCGTGCGTGCGTGCGTGCTTGCGTGCCTCGGCGTCGTTGTTCCATCATTCGTTGCGATCAGGTAGGCAGCTAGGCTATTACGCGAGAGGAGGACCTTGCTTCTTACAAACAATTACGAGGCCGTCGGCAATTGTTTTTGCTCGATCATTCAGAGTGTGCACTTGGGAATATTTACGCCCGCATGACAAGATTGGATTCTAATGGAGATATTTAATTGAAAGTGCTGCTAAGAAGTAGACCGTCCGTTGCAACTAAGGGTAGCTGCATATAAGAGGCCAAGCTCTGACCAAGCATCTGTACGAAATCGCGTTCAACTCCACATGCCACTGAGTATTTGTAAGGTTTTTCTATTTGTCCCAAGATCGTATAAGTTTGTCCAATGTCGTCAGATCGCTCTTTCTGGGCACTGACAGTGTCGAACGCTTATGTCACAGCTTCGACCTGCCCATAACAGTCGTTATGAAATTATCAACAGCCTAAACAAAACAACCGTACGAAAATTTACAGCAGCGATACAAAGCCTACTAATTTTGCCGAGCACAAGCTTATACGCACTTTGGCGACAGTTCCGCCAGACTGTAGCGCGAGAAATCTACCCAAGACAATAGAGTTGTTCGGAAAATTAAAAATTGGTCGAAGCGTACGTGCGTACTTGAGCTCGCTTCGCGCCGCAAATTGCTGCGGGATAACGAGTAAATCAGACGAGACGTTCTTACGCCGGAGAGAGCGGCGGGAAAGAGGGAAGGGGCAGGGGAGGGGGGAAGCAAGCTCGTAGCGAAACGATCGACCCGATTTAAAAGAGCGCCCCGCGCACAAAGGAAGGCATCGCAGGCGCTATATACGCGAGCTTCTGCTGCTCGCGAATCGTCGCTGTTCTTAGCTCGCGGTACGAGGAGGCGTCGGGGAGGGGCGCGAGTGGATGAGCTAAGCGCGAGACACACAAAAGAGCGCGGTGCCACGTAGCGAAACCAATGGAAGGTCGTGGCAGTGGTCTTTAACGCGGCGCGGCGCTCTCAAAGCAAGCCTCCGAACTCGCCCACTTTCGGCGAAAAGGGGCCCGCGCTGTTCCAATCGGTTTTCCAATGGACTCTTCTTTTATCTACGCTCACTTCACGATACTACGTGGATTCGCTTCGAGTGGCTATCAGTTTCGAGCTGTCGATCGTCAAATCGAGGCGCGCGAGAGATGCGGCCTCTTTGATTTTATTGTCTGTCATTTAAATTGCTTCTTCCACGCCTTGATTTATCAGCAACTTGAGTTTATCGAGCTTAGCACGAAATATTGCGTAGCAGGCTGTATTGAATGGATAAAATCAAATAGAGCTGGGCGTCAACTTGGCGAGGAAAATTGTGCGATAAGGATTATCGCAAATCGAAGAAGCTCTCGGTGCACTACGACACGACCGAAGTCTACGTAGACCGATTATAAATTTATTGCGTCTTTTCTCGTGCAGTTCATCGACTTGGCTCGTTCAGCCGTCGAGAGCCATTAAAATTGCGTGCCCATAATTCATGTAAATACGAGATTACAATGGAGGGAAGCCTGAATGATCTGTAAAAAAGTGAGGGCAAGGCGGGGGCTTCGATTCAAATATGAATGGTGCCTCGCGAGGGGCAAAAGTCGGCGAAGAGAAAGCATTTATCACGAAGCGCACGTGTGCCGCGCGAATCAGAGACAGAGTGCAAGGCACAAACACAGAGATTCGAAACAGAGAGCGGTGCGTCGTCTTATCAATAAGCATTGTTTCCTAGCTCTGGCAATCATCCACCCCTTTCCCGGATGATGGCTGCTCCGTATATGAGCCGCGCGAGTCGCGCGTATCCAACAATAGCCCCGTACGTGCCTCTCTTGTATCTCTGGATACCTTATCTGCAGCAACGAGCGCTCCAATTTTTTCTCACCTAGCTCCCCCGCTCGCTCGCTCGGCGCTTCAAAGACGACGAAAACCCAATAGCCGACAATTTTCGCGTGTCTAGCTCAAGTGCTCTTCTTTGTTTGCATTGTCTTTCCTTAGGCCATGCCAATTCATTAAACTCTTCAGCTATATTCCGAAGATTACTCGCAGGCGGAACGACGCGTTTACGCTTTGTTTGGAGGTCAGCAAGTAGACCCAATCGAAATTCAAATTTTTCATCGACGAGCGTTCCATCCCTCGAAAAGCATTATACAAACGAATGCCGCTCGTAGTCGTAACACCAAACGACCGTCGTGATTTGCAATTACTCCGCGGCACGGGCACGAATGTTATAACTCTGCGGTCTTCTCTACAAATTAAAATATTTTCCTACGGGAATGAGTCGCTCTCATCTCGTTAGAATAACGTCATCTCGAGCGTTTATTCGAGTCATCTTCACGAGGTAGTCTCGGAATAATCGGACAAAAATTAAATACTCGATGAAACAACCGAAGAACAATGTGATCCAGCGTGAAAAATAGCATTAACCTGTCACCTGAACTATCGTGCTCCATTAGCCCGAGCCAAATCTAAATCTTGCTTTAACTCTATTCGGTACGGATAACCAACAGAACCTGAGAAAGAGGCAAGAATAAAGGAGGCTACAAGCACACGGGAAGTAACGCCACGATGAACACGCGTAGCGATATATACATACTTTGCGTGTCTCTTGTTGCTTCTCTTGGTGGTACTTTAAAATCGCATTAGCATGGCGCGCGCGTTTTGCGGCGGGATTCGACACTCTCGAGAGCGCTGTCTGATCGCGCGCGCGCGCGCACGCGAGAGGCGTCTCGCGGTCGGAGACATCTATCGCTTCGACGAGCATTTATTGTTGCGTGACGCACGTGCTGCGGCTTCTTTTTTTCTCTCATTACTTCCTGATTCGTCCCCGGGGATTTGAAGCGTCGATAACGCTTTTATTCATGCTTTTTTGCTTGGTTTCGTTGCGCTTGCATCGATCGCTGACTTTCATCGAGCAAATTGCTTCGTTTCATTAAAAAACAAAACGGCTGATTTCGTTTTGCTTTTCTTTGGCGAATGTACGTATGAGCATCATCAATGAACGAAATACGCCCCTGTGTAAGAAAGCGTATGGTAAAGTATGTCAATGTTTGGCGCCAATTTCATGCTTCTAATCATATTTTAAGTTCACTAGTGTTATTTAACGCGCCTCGCACACTTTCTTGTTATTTTTCTTTAATCAATCTAATCATATAAATAACTTTTTTAATCTGTTATCCGTTGGCGGTACGGTAATATTCTGTTATTATACAATCATAACTTTAGTCAGCAACAGTAGTTTTCTAGGACCGCAGTGTTATACCTATTACTATTAGTAATATATTTCAACATCGAATGTTCTCTTGTTTCCTCGTTGCAAACACTCGTGAACATTCTTCAAATTTAATATTCTGATAATTATTTTCCGTTTCCCGCGCAGCTCTCACTTTACATGTGTAAAGCAATTAAAATGCAGTTTTCTCCATTTCATTCTATTAAATTTTTATTTCTTCTAATCACATTTTAACATGATACCATTAATTTCACAGTTGGTAATCAAATTATTCCAGCATAATTTGAAATGATCTTATTTTCTTAAAACGATTTATTAACGACATATTTTCATTTTTGCAGATTATTATGTACGTTAATTATTCATAAATTGAATTTATTGCTGGAATATAAATTTCACACTCTAAGATATATAATACCAATATTTTCAAGTATACGATTCAAATTCAAATTCAAATGTTCACGCTCTTTCTTAGTACCAGCCGATCACAACGCTGAATGTCGGCGATGGATCATTTTTTTAGATAGGCAACAGGACTAGTATAAGAATCGTAAAAATTTGGCAAAAACTATGATTAAGTGAAATGTCTAATGAAAAGGATGGATAAAATTATGAAACTAGCACCAAAGCCATACTTTAATGCCCCAACTTTTGTTACACTTCTGTATACCTCTTTCACGCGGGATATGCAAATACCGAGGTCTCATTTGCCAACTTGATTCCTCAGATTGAGAATACTGGCATCGATTGCTGTCCTTACCTGAAACAATAAATTGGAATTCTAATTAGACATCTATCGTTTCGAAGCAACCATTCGTTAATAAAAGCGAGTAGCTATAATTGTATAGTGAAAACTTGGCAATTCGGTTCACTAAACGGAAAGTGCAACGTTAGAGCACCGTAAATGAAAATAGAAGCAGAAAGCATTTCGTCAAACTTTGTTTGGTCGAGCGGCTGAAGCATTTGGGTCTATAGTTAAAACATAATATAGCTAGTTGAACATCAGAAAGCATATGTGTACGACTCTAACATACGATACATAGCTATTTCTTGTCATCAACTTGTTAACAGGCTGAAGATAAGTCAGATATCTTAAAGATTATAAAATAATGTAATATACGAGATTCTCCCTGGTTATTCTTAGCTGCGAATGTAAACAAATAATTATCTTCTCTCTCCCTCTTTGTCTGGCAGAGGATACAGCTGTAGCTCAATTTTTTTACGTGACACATTGAACTGCCGAACAAGGCATCATTTCGATACAAAAATTTCTTCGTCGTGCAAAAACACCAAATCATTAGCGTTTCCATCGTAATAAAACTTTCCCCATGCTCAAAAACAGTCGCGTGAAAGAAAAAAAAACAAACTCTGAGAACAAATATATACACGTACACTTAGCCCGCCGGCGTCGTAACGTTAATTATAATGTTTTTCTTTTAATGCTTTCGAGCCCGCGGTACACGAAACGAACAAATAACGCAGGTTTCGCAAAAGATAATTACCGTCCGACGTACGTCTTTCCGTTCGAAAGTTTTCTCGCGCGCGTCACGTGTCGATTTTTTAAGGCGCGCACAAAATGGTGAGAAGAACGCGACAAGAAATGACAAAGAAGAGGCCGTTTTGACGGAGAGTCGTGTTTACGGGATTGATCCGAACGTACAAGCGAGTCCAAACGGTGCAACCAACCTGTAGGAAGACAACGTTAGCGTGGCGCCGGTAGCACACAGGTGGGGAAAAAAGTCAAAGGAGCTTCGTACACGTTAGGGACAGGGACGAAAATAAAGCAAGGCTGGCAGGAAGTGTCGGAGCTGCCGGAACTGGTGTGTATCCCTTACGCGTGCCAACAGTATCCTCGGCGTAATATCGCTTGCACCGCGCAGTCTCGCCGCTGTGCACACTCTGGCTCGCGAGTTTTTCGCCGCGTTTTTTGATGCCCGCGTGCTCTTCGGGTCTATTTTCGAGACGGCAAGCCTCGAGGGAGCGAGCGAGCGAGCTACTGATTTATTAATGGGTCAAAGGCGCATTTCTTTGCATTGCGCACGCGGAAGAGTTTATCGTCGCGCTCTACTCTGACCGACCTGCGCTCCGTTTGATTTGTGGCTTCGCTCGCTTGCGTTCGATCTACAACAGCTAATGACCGTCGAGAGAGATTGACGGCTGACGGATCAAACGAACGACAGCAGGCACGCCGAGCGCTGTCTCGCAACCCTTCGTCGCGCGAAGGAGCGACGAATCACGACGAGAGCTAACCCGGCGTAATTCAAAACTCTCCGAGTGGTCGACGACGAGGCCACCTCGAAGATGCGCACAATAAACATCCGTTCGGCGCGAAAAGCCGAGACCACACTCGCGCCCGTAAACCGATCCCCGCGGACGCGCGCCCTTGCACCGTGTTCTGCTGGATCTCCCTTTTTTACGGAATCAAGAGTTTGTTTGCCGGGTCCACGCTGCGATCAGGCCTTTTCCAGGCTGTGGACGCGGAATTTCTTTAAAATACAAGCAGTTGAGTGACCCGTCAACAACCGACTGTTTTTCCGGCCGGTCGAGTAAAAATATGCACGCGCGTTCGGGCTTTGGACACGCGCGGATATAGCAACCGTGCACAAGACGAAATTTGTCTCGGCAAGCGTTGGAATTTTGTCTAAATTTGTCTCGGAGTTCTCTCTCTCTCTCTCTCTCTCTCTCTCTCTCTCTCTCTCACTCTCTATCTCTGTTGCTGCGTTACGCCGCGCCGATATCAGAAAGCCAGCCTGCATTCCTTGCGTGTCCAATTATTTCGCGAACACGCAAGAGGTAGCTGCACCAGTTGATTGGAAAAAAATGGCCGTTTTGTATTGAAGTGGGCACTTTTTTTCATTCGCGATCGTGGATTGATTCCCGTTCAAATTTAGAATCACGTGGGAGTATATTGGCGACGTGGTTTCGACAGTCTGAAGGAGTTTCCCACATCGGAGGGAACAAAGAAACGATCCGTCGTTAACGGTTATCGGACTGTCGTAGAGAAAAAACATACAGGGCGCGTAAAAAGACAGCCGCCGCATCGCGTATATTTTGTCTAGTTTTACGCGAAGGCAACTTTAGCTCCTCATGGTCGACGCGCAAAGAAATATTCAAAGTGATGAATCGCGGGTTATAAAAACTAAAAATGCTTCTCGAGCCAGGCGCGAGTCGAAAAGAAACTGCGTGGCACGTGCACGCTTCGCGCGTAATTTTTTCTTTTGTCGCTGGCAATCAGCGAAGAGAGAGAGAGAGATTCTTTCGCACACCGGAATGAAAACAAATAGTCTTTCCGAATCGATCGGTCAATAGGCGGCAGGCAAGAGTCCGTGGAAGAAGAATCTATGACGTTGCCGTTTTAGAGGCCTTCTTTCGAGCGGAGCCAATGACATTTCGCGCTCTGTATGGACGTGTGGGCAAGAGAGCTTCGATTCGTGCATACGCACACTACTCTTTTTCCCAATTCTGCCCACGTTTTGGTGCTAACGTATACTCCATCCGACGCGGCCTAGTGTAGTACACGTAGATCGATCGTTGAGAAAGCGATAGAATGCAAATAACTTTTGGCCGGCCAAGTCTATTAATAATCTTGCGCGGGCTAATTTGCCATACAAGTTTCTTTCCATTATTACAAGTCGCATTAACTATAGCCGAGAGCGAACAAATTGAAAATCCTTTAGCTCTACAATTTTTAGCGCGATAAGTCCGAAAATAGGGTTCCACGATATTATACGCGCTTGACTCGCTGAAAGAGAGCACATTTTTCGCAAGCAACGTATTTTCACAAAGCCTACCTCGCGCTATAAATTATAAATACAGATTTTAATAATGCAGCATATTATATACCCACGTGCTGTATATGCATACAAACGCACATTGTTGCTATACAAAGTGCGAATGATAAATTACTAAAATACGCGTGAAAAGGCTGTAAACACGGCTTGCAAAGTATCATTTCGAATTTAAAAATAAAATACGCCCAGCAAGCGAGATATGCATATGCCGATTATTAGCCATACGTCAGAATCCCGACAGACGAGGAATTTACACGTTAATCAATCTACATACCAATAAGTCACTCGTCAATCATTGAACTGCCGCTCACTGCGATCGCATCTCTCTCTCGAAAGGCCAGATCATCCTCATGATCAGTCGGTTTGTATCGACAGGCGTATGTACACACACGTGCAAATATCGTGGCAGCTATTTCGTTGCGCGAATGCCCCCGTATAAGGCACGCGCGACCCACGCGACGGGAAAGAAGAAAAACGACGCGCGTTCGTTTGACACGTCAACGAACCGTACTAGTCTATGCGGAAAACGAGCGAAACGCAGCGGCAGGTAGAATCGTTGAAAAATGCGCTCTATTCTTTGTTCGCTCGTCGCAAATACTCATCGCGCTGGCACGTTGCGAAGGAGCCGTGGAAGGGCTCCGGTTTTTCCGTTTTCCCGACAACGATCCGTAAATTCGAAATTGGGAGCAGCGAGATCCGAGCATATCGCCAGCGCGTAGAGCAAGGCGCTGTTGCACGCGAATAAACGCAGAGGCTGCGAGCGGCCTTTAAACTCTGCGTGGCTCTGACCTTAATAGGCTCGTTGAGCGCATGCGTCTGGCCGATCAATTAATTACATCGTCTAATTGGCGTGAAAATTGCACGCAGCAACGCGGACGTGCCAAGTGTCTTGCCAGAGAAATAAAATCATCGGCGATATCTTCGGGCCTGTGGCCGCGCGTAAGGAGAAGCAGACGCGCTTCGAGCCTCGGCTTCTCGGATTTGATGAGGCTTTAATCGCCGTGGGCGCAGCCCGTTATCCGCAGCGCGCCTGATATATCGGGCGGAGGCGAACGACTGCGTCGATGCGTCGAAGCGCCGAAAGTTCGATCCTAAAGTCGATCGCAAGTCGGTCGCGCTAACGACACTTTCGCGGCGAGCATCTCGATCGCACGGAAAGAAAGTGATTTTCGCGAAAATCGGTGAAAGTCCAAGAAGGCGAGACGCCACACGGTCGATCCTCGTGACGAATCCCTTCGAGCGGCGAGCGTGTCATAATGGGGCGCAGCGCGCGCAACGAGCAAGACAACGGGAAGGAAGCTCTGGCTACTCGACCACGCCGTCGCGCTTCTATCTTCTCTCTCCTTCTCTGTCGGCAGCAGTCGTTCACGGCGACGGCCGGGCGTCTAATAATACCTTGGCCGGCCGTATTTGGCAATGCGGAGGCCGGTGTGTGCGTGTGCGTGTGCGCCGACGATGAGCACGAGGAAGGCGCAGGCCGTCTTTCGCTCGTGCGTGCGCGGCCGCGCTTCCGCGTTCCTCGCGGCAGCGGCAGCAGCAGCAGCAGCAACAGCAGCTGATGGCCGCAGCCTTTTCGCCCGAAACTTTACGGCGCGCGAGCGACTGCCCGTGAATCGACGCGAGACTGCGGCTCGACTTGGAATCTCGCCCCGGCTTATCTGCTCCAAATTGAATCTGATACGGAACTGACGTTAATGGACCGTCGCTCAACTCAACGCTGCATTTCGAGGGACACTTTCAATGCAGTAATGGCGAAGCTGGAAAGGCAGATTTATCGCCACGCCGAGAGCCGAGCGACGTTTTACTGCAGTGTCACGTCGGCCGCACACCTGTCCACTTTGCAAAAGTGCAAATTCGTCGATCTAATTTTCAAACTATGACAAGCCCGCGCTGGCTTGTTGTGCGTTTCCTGTAAGCAGATTAGAAAATGGGCATCTGCGCGACGCGCGGCCAGTAAAGTTTAATGAGT